TAGGCTGCGCAGGTAGAAAACTATTTAATACCCCAGTCCCGATACACGAGGCCAAATTATTGCTTGGCTAACAGACGTATTTAGTGGTGGGATGGACGAGTATGTGGAAGAACCGATCAGTGTTGCCGATGATATGCTGAAAGACGAGTGCGAGTCTCAGGTCCGGCAATATTTAAGAGATGCACATGGAATTCCCGTTACTACTGATGCATTAGACTGGTGGGCAAAACGACGAACTAAATAGCCGTTCGTGGGGGCTTTGGCTAGGAAGTGGATCGGGTGTATAGCAGTCCGATCGTGATATTTTTAGAAAGCGGAAATGTAGTCACCACGCGACGCTGTTCGTTAGCCTCCGATATTATTCGTGATACTTTGTTTGTCAGCGAAAACTACGAAGAGAACGATGACAACGTTTCCAGTGAGCAAAGTGATAGCAGTGACGAGGAAGGCAGGTAACATTCCGGTATATTGTTACATGAACGAAAACCAAAGTGAATTTTACGCAGTAGTTCGAAAATACATCATTACCGTCAGTGTTATCACCTGTCCCCGCCTCACTAATATAAACTGTCAGGTAAAACTCACCATCGATTGGGTCGGAAGTGATCAAACTGAAGAAAGAGCTGCTGGTAGCTGTTGAGCTTGTTAGTTTTTCCAGCAGAAAAAGATGACGAAGATACCTTACACTGATCTCTGCTGGTGCTTGTTGCGTCAGGGCCAGAGCGAGAGGTGCTCGCTAGCCGGGTTTCTGGACTTACGTGCCCTAGAGCGCCGACGCGGATGCCGATATTGGTTAGAATGCCGTCCGCGGCGGTGATGCAGTCTTCTTACTGACCATCTCGAAGTATTTGGAGCTGTCTGGGTTGCTGTCGAGTGCTTCTGAAGGAGGAATCGAAGCCTGCAAAACAGCAAATTAGCCGAGCAAGGAAGAATAATCATGATACAGTCCCTAGCTGCCAGTCTAGACGTATCCGCGACGTGGAGACTGTCTAGCCTCGGATCCGAGAATTGTATACGGATGCCTGCTCAGTAGAAGCTGTCGCCGTGGCTTAGGATGCACAAGGCGTAGCCGGTGTACGTGGACGCGTGAAGCACGAGTCCTTCGTGACTGGTCAACTGACGCTATGTTAACCAATCCGGATGGATAATTTATTTAACCAATCAAAACACATATCGCTATCTCATCGCTATCGCTTCGGAAAACCCCAGATAACGTTACACAATCGTCGCGGGGGTAGCGGTGAACGTTAAAAGCACTTGCAATGCAGGGTTTTAGATGCAACGGCAGCAATAGGGTTAGCCCTATTACTGGTGGTTATTAAACTGCCAACCACTGCCGGTGGCAGTTTCGTGTCCATTCCGATTTGCGACCGATACTTGGACAGGCTATTTCGTGGCAAAACCTTCGTAACCATATCAGCGGGATTGTCATTGCCGTCCGTTTTGCACACATGACAAGCTTTTTTCTCGCTTGATCATGTACTTAATGTTATCGCAGCTCTATGTGACGTGTTTTGA